ATAAATTAAAACGATTAGAATAAAATAATAGAAAGAGTTAAACGGTGATTCACTCAATAATGAAGCGTTGGGGATCAAGTTCACTTATTAGGATGCCCTATTCCCACAAACCAAAATTATTTGTGCTTAATTAAAGCGACAATCATTATAAAAATGATTTAATTACCCTCTAGCAATGTAAATTATATTTAATTAAAGTTAAATTATCTTTCACTAATTCTAACTCTCTAATTAAACCATTAAGCTACAATTAATGAAACCACAAACCATAAATTATTCACAACCTAGTTGTTTATGATTACTTTTCTATGTCTAAGCTCGCTCTTCTCCTTCTAGTGCATCGAGCAACCCAAAATAGAGAACATATTGGCAAGACATAAATTTAGAATTAAAAATAAGGAAAAGTAATTGAAATTGATAAAATACTCTCAAAGAGTCATTAAACAATAAATCCAAACCAACAAGAATAAATATTAAAGTAAAAAATAGTAGAAACATCCTAGCGAGGCTATTCCTTACTCTGATTGAGGAATTAGAAATCAAACATGTAATTAGCTACAACAATCCCCAAATCGATCAAACAATCAAGTAAAAGAACATAAAAGGAGAATAGGAAATCACCCTCAATCAAGTAGATCGTTCCCAAGCTTTGTATTCAACTATTTAGATTGCCTCTAATGGAATGAATGTGTTCTAAGTGTTTTTAGCGATTATTTATATAATTTTACACCCCAAATGGCCTTAATCTTGATGCTTTATGTCTCTTTTAGGTTGAATCTAATGGTTCACATTTATTTCTTTCAAATTTGGGCTCTCCAAGTGTATTGGGCCTTTATCTATGAACGATTGTGCCTTCAGCATGCTAGCCTGTGCATGGTAGAAGAGTGAGGAAAGCCCTCATCTTGCTTTCATCCACTTATGGTTGTGGCTTTCTTGAGTTAGTCCATGTGGGGTAGAAGACTGAAGGGAGGGAAATTCCCCTTCATCCACGAGCAGTTAGAATTCTTCATAATTCATCCGTAATTAAACGTAATTAAGGCAAGACCTAACTTTGAAACTTTGTTCATCCATGATTGATTGAGTGTCTTTATGCTTCATCTGTGGGCAGATGAGTCTTCTTGGGCCTTGATCCGAATTCACTTGTTTTAATCTCATTTTTTGGTCCTTTTTCTTCATTTCCTACATTTTGACACACAATAATCAAGTGAGGCCATATGAATCATTTTTCCCTTAATTTATCACAATTAACTAGCATATTTTGGTCTAAAAATCATGTATATAATGGGCCATCAAACACATATGAATATTCTAAAAACACAAATAGATATTTTAAAAATTTGATCATTTTTCATAAAAAATCAAAGGATATTCTAAAAATACAAATAGATATTATGAAAATTTTTTCATTTTTCATGAAAATACCAAAGAATATTTTCAATGGTCACTATTGTTATACATAAGGGTAATCATACCAACTTAAAACATAAAGAATAACAATTAAACATCAACAAAACCATTTATCATTAAACAATAGCATGTTTTTACATCCATTAACAACATAAATTTCATTACATTACAACAAGATAATACATAATAAATTCACTTACTTATATCTTAGAATTCCTAAACACAGTCTTTAAAGCAATTAGCAATTGTCTCAGCAAGTCATTTTCCCATATATGATCTTCAAAGCCTTCATATTCTTCAAACCCATCAGCTTCTTCCAATTGATGACACTCAAAATTTGGATAACAGATACATAATAAAAGTAAGGAAGTCCAATGATAGCCTCAGGAAGTGTTTTATGTGTTCTATATAGACACACACACACATGCAAATCGTTGCTCACTTGGGACTGCAAAAAAAAAAAAATCAGTTTCCATCACATCTTTAGTAATACTTATAGTCCAGATTGGGAGGTTTAGAGTTTCAGACAATTTAAATAGAGTGAAAATCTGAACACACAAGCACCATTCAATTATGGATTCTAGGCCATCTTGAACCCGCCTTAATTCACTTCAAGACACTAGAATGGGCTTGAGGTTATGTATGTTAGATCTAATTCTCACTCAAGGCTATGGTTAATATTTCTTGTTCCTTTTCTTTTTGTTCATGCATTTGGAATTGATTCTTCACGATGTCCATGAGACATATTAAGTTGGTGATCTCTGCTAAGGAGAAGACTTAAGGATCGACAGTACAGATGGATATTATTTTTCAAAACTTTATATCAATATAAATCATTGATGTTTTTTACCGTGTTTCACTATCATTGTTATCTTCTTGTGCATGATCAATATTCTCAATCAATTGGCACCAAGACAAGCAATATGTGATAGAGATGGTTGATGCTGGGTATAAACCTTACTATGTATTAAATGAGAAAAAATCAGAGGAAAATTGATCAAGCATATTCCCAATGACTAAGATGTGGCCTCTTCAAGTAGTTTTCTAATATGCGTCTATCTAAGTACTAAATCAATGAGATTTGCATTTAATTAAGAAAGAGATTCCAAATCCGTAACTCAGGACAATACAAATTAAAAAACTATCGAATTGAGTCCCAAAAACCCTATAGAAAGGAATGCATAAAACATAGCAACACACCTTCATGTTGGACAGATTGATGCTATCCTCGGGCGATGTGATTGGTGATGGTACGACTGATGGTAAGAAACCATTGACGCTATCAATATGCTCCCTCTGCTCTTTGCTCTCTGCACAAATTCAAAGAGGAGGGGGAAGGGAAGGAAGGAGGTGACATTGGAGAAGAATAATCAGGTATGAAGGAGGTGATGGAGGACGAAGGAGTAAGGAGAAGAAGAGGAAGTCATGGCTAGAATCATGATGGGTGCGGAGAGGACAGAGAATATTTGGTTAGGACATTTTAGCCATTGGGAGCTTTGAATTTATGCCAACAAAGGACCCCAAATTAGAATCTCTCCCAAGTTCTTGTGATCAAACTAATTTGTGGTGGAGTCTTTTTTATCAATTTCCCTTTATACTAATACATATATAAATTACATAATACCTGAATTAAATATTTAAAATGTCAATATTCTTTAATCCTTGTTATCATCAATTTTCATTCAAAAATAAAACACTAGACCTTTCAGAGAGAAATCTAATTGGAGGAGATACTAGATAGTGCTATTTTAAGAATCTTTTTAACTTCATCTTCATTGCCTACAATAAATATTTAATAAACTGTGTTATTGTCATATATTAATTTAAAATTTTAAATAAAATATATAAATAGAATTACAAAAAATTATAAGATCTTAAGATCTAACTCAAGCTTGATTTTACAGGATTTATAAAGTCTTAAGATCTGACTAGCCAGATCAGCCCTTATTAAAGGTTCTACGTCTAGCCATTAAATGGGCATTGATTTTTATGACAAATGGAGAATCCATCTGTTAGGAGTAGTATATTTTGATAGATGAGAATTGTGTGATGGGCTCTTAGCTAGTTTATCTTTCTTCTATGCTATTCGATTCCTTATCCTTTATATTTAAAAAAAAAAAGGTAAACATTATAGCAAGTAAAATGGATGTATCGTTGTCCGTTGATGGAGCTAGATGACGCCATCGCAGCACGTAGTATAAGTAGGGGGTTAATGTTATGCTGAAGCGAAGACTACAGGAAATTAATTGTAAAGAGAATGCGCAACATCACTCTCTAAGAGGTTTTTTTTTTTAAAAAAAAAACCCCTCTTGCGGCCCATGGAAATTATGCTAACACCACTTAATTCCTTACACTTAATTTGGTCGAGGATGGCTCATGTGTTCATCATGGCCTTGAAATTAAAGGTGCATGTATGGATGACAACTCACCCCAGTACGTCACTCGTTCTGGCTAAGAGCCACGTGTTTGTTCATAAAACCACTTTTATAACTTATACTCTGTCTCCTGAGAAAAAAAAAACATTAGATGACCGTGGTCGCGAGTTGATGTGCTCAATCATAATCCGAAGAAAACGGAATTTCCTTAGAATATTGTTTGTAGAGTAATCCCATATGTTGATATTCTAGCTAGTTGAGGTGAGTCCATTGGTTGATCGGTTTGTCCTGGCACTTGAGAGGATTATATTATATATATATATATATATATATATTTACAGGTAAGATGGCAAACACTCACCGTAGCTTTCTAGAATATTTACAATGGAGAAAAAAATGGGGTCTGAAAATCAACTAAACTGAGAAATCTAGGACAACATTCCAAACGGGGGATGACAATTTGATCGCAGTGAAGCTGTGTGAATGTGATGCTTTGAAAAGTATTAATTCCTTGAGCTTATTATCGTATAACACGGTTTTTTTGATAAAAAATATCAATCCATCTTCAACCCTTTTCCGATACAGATCTATCGACTTACAAGACAGCACCGAAATTTTGAAAATGGACCAAGCTACATTCCAACAAACAGATGACGAGCTCATGGTTTAATTGTGGAAAGTGCCAATAGTGTCTAACAGAATTTGTCCCCGACGTGCAAGAACAATGAGAATGGAAATGGGCACTTATCCCAAGTTCGTTTCTTACCCTCGTCATGTTAGTGTCCTTTCTTTTTCTCTAATATTTGTCTCTCTTCTGAAGTTACGAGTAATGTATAACTCTTTTCTGTTTCACACTTCCACCCCTCTCTCGTTCTATAAATAACAAGAGCTGTAGCTAACTAGCTATCATGAGTGGTGGAAATTCAAGCCCTCCTTTCCCAGCTGCTTGTTGGTTTACTTCTTGTGGTTTCGTTTTGGTTAGGGCCGATTTTTCTCCCATTACTTCATGCGAGCCTTTATCTTGGCTTATAAAATAACGAAACAACTTTTCCGTTCCATTAACGTTCCCCTGCTTTTTTATTTTATTTTATTTAGTATTATTGTTGCCTTTTCGGTCTCCCATTGTTATCAGCTACAATAAATAAAAGACCCTCCGATAAATTCGTTCACACCTCAATTTGTCATCTTATCCCACTATAAATTCGTTCCATCCCTGCTCGTAGCTTCAAGCTAAGCCTTCAAACCCTCCATCCCAATCTCATCTTACTGTCTCTTCTGACCTAAAACAAACAAATGGCCAAGATCACAGCCTTGTTCTTCACAGCTCTGTTTCTCTCCTCCATGCTAGCCCACGCCGCTCGCCCTGTGCCAGGTTTTAACGAGGAACTTTCGGGAAATACTCAACATTCGGTTGGTTACTTATGATACTTGTGCCTCTGTCTATCTTCATTTCGATGTTATGCTCTATTTGGGTTTTTACCCTGGGGTTTACTTCCTTGTTCACAGCTTGCGGACGCAATCGCAGAGCATGATGAAACTATCATGGACAACTGTGAAGGCGTTTCAGAGGATGAATGCTTGATGAGGAGGACACTCGCTGCTCACCTTGACTATATCTACACCCAGAAGCACAAACCTTGAAACATTTTCTCTAATACTATATGTAGAAGCATATGCCGCAACAAAATTCCTAAATCCTAATTTTATACGTTAGATGCTGGTTTCTTCCGGTCCTGACCTCAAGTTTTTATTTTCCCCTCTTTTTTACTATGAAACTCTCATCATGTATTAAATATTTAGTATAAAGTACATTATAATGAAGTTAAGTTGATAATATGTGTCAACATATATCTTTCTTTGTCCCATTTGGATAACAGAATATTCAAATCTAACTGAAAGTGTCTATGAACTGCAAAAGTTTTTCCTTGATCAAAAAGATGAGAACGTTCCTTTTACTACTTACGGTCGCCCATGATATAAGCCTACAACAAATTAACCCAGACCAATTTAAATACTACAGGTAATGGTAGAATGGTGATCAATTGTTCAAAGATAATTCCACACATGATAACCCAATTTAATTCCTGCGGCAATAGCAGCGATGAATAAAAATGTTACCCTGCAATATGAAACCCGGAATTGAGTAAGAACTGAAGTTAGAGAGGAAACAGCACGTGAGCATTGACATTTTAGAGGCGGGCACAAGTTTGGATTTAATGCAAGCTATCACTCTGCTCTGCATTTAATATTGAATGTAAATGCGATCAACCACTTGTGTGGCTGGAAAGGAAATAACATATCGAGGGTGATTTTGATGGAATTGGTTGACAGTTGAACTTAAACTTTAAAATTAGTGAACTTCGCCTTCTGATATGTGAAGACGGAGAAAAAGCGGCCTGGACAGAAAACAAACAACCATACAATTAAACAGACGCTCTAGTGTAGCTCTAGCTTCATAGTTCACTTTCACTCCACAATTCACACATTACAATTGTTCAGAGATCGCCCCACTGTCCTAATTTTGGCGCTTCTGTCTTACAACATTGTCGTTTATGAAGAAAAAGGAATGGAAACAAAAGTCCAAAAGCCTATGAGGCTGTTACGGAATGAAGGGATTTCATTTCAATGAACGGCGGGGTGTGAAGCAGAAGGGAGAGGAGCGGCGAAATTGCACAAGTGGCTTGGTAGCATAAACGTCAACTGTAATAATTCGGTGCTCTGAAACATTACATTATGCTTCATGCTGTTATCATTGCTTCTGTTTCGTTCTTCTTGAGCTACTCTTGCTAGGCTTACGCTACTCTACAATTCCTTCCTTCATCAATTGACTTAACATCCATATCCCCAAATAAAATATATACACTCCCCCTCCATTGTTTTAGAAAACTTTTTTTTCTGATTTTCTTTCATTCCACAAAATTACTTACTTGTTAACTTTAATTATAATAAAACTGATAGTCTTTTATTAAAATGCCCTTGTTTTAAGCATTCACTTAAACATATTAGGATTGAAGTATAAATCTGCTTCACATTTTTAAAAAAGACGTAGTTAATATCCTAAAATATTTGAACGCCTAATATCATGTTTAACGTTTTTCAAAATCAAACCATTTTATCCCGGCTAACAATTCATGCTTTAATAGTTAATTAGGCCGTTTTGTGCACATAGCATACGTTATAAAAATTAATAAATAACACGGGGCTGATTAATCACGCTTTTCTTCCTCTTGCCATCGCAGATCGTGTTTCGCTTGCCTTCCCATCTTAGCTTGGATCAACGTTGTCTCCCACCCGTGGCTTCACTTTTTCCCTTATACCTGTACCACCCACCCATAGCTCCACGTCCACCTTAGATTTGAACCACCCACCCATAGATTCCTCATCTTCTCTCTTCTTCTTTCTCTAACAGTCTCACTGACTATGAAACGGCTAGCATTCTAGAGAAGAACGCGAGTGACGGTGCGGAAGATTGAGGAGGATGGACGTGAGTGGAGAAGAAGAACATGAATGAGGGTGAGGGCCTTGACGAGCCGGGAGAGATCTTCATCTGTGTGATTTCGCAGCTCCTCGTCTTTTTCTGCTTATTTGTGACATTGTACAATAAAACACACTCCAAGTTCAGGTTAATATATAGATGATGTCGTTGACTACTCTTTTTGTTATTTTTTGCCCCCTTCATTACTTCCGAATACATTGGAAAAGGAAAGAAGCCAGAGACAAGCAATTTCAGCAATTGGGTACTTCTTTAGCACGTTCAGTGGTGGGCGGTCCCAGTATAAGAAAAAATTGACCAGCTTCGAAGTCGTGAGACTGTGAGATCCTCAATTTCAAGTCTGTTTTTCATTGCAAACACTTTGAAGGAGTTGATTCCTTATACTGAGATCCTCAATTTGGAAGGCATGCATAGGCCCTTGTTGGCAATTCAGGTAATTTTTCATAATTAATTTGCTCATTTTTTGATTTGTTCATTTGGATTCTGATAGAAGAAGTACTGATTTTGGTGTCAAACAACGTTTGGTTAAGGGGATTGCTCTGTTTTTGTTAGTGAGGGATCATAGGGACAGAAAATTGGTTTTCTGAATGAGTGAAGAAAATGGAAGAAGTGGCTGAAAGGGTAAAGTTCAATTTGAGCTTCAACTCTTCAAACAGTACACAGCGTAAGGGTAATGGAGCGTGAAGACGAGTTTTGATATTCCGTCATGGGCATTCTCACATATATCCTCACTTGCTTCAAAATCAATTCAGGGCAGCGAATCAACCAAACAATTGAATCACTAAGCACTAAGCATGTCAAAAACTCAAATAAAATAAGTTCTCAGACTCCCTTACTTCAAATCACCCAAATATAAAGATTCAAGTTGAAATAGAATGGAACAAGTTTGATTAAATAGCGTGCATAAGCACGAAATTACAATTGATAAATTGTTAAGATAACTAAACATGAAGGTAAACCTAAAGAAATAATAGATCTCCTAAGAGTTCAAAGTGATTTTTGCACCCCCTCTTCTCTAATGATGTTCCCATATTTATAGCGTATAGGTTGTGTTGTTGTTTGTATTTGCCAGCTTGTGTTCTCAAAATATCCATGAGTAAAGGTCATGATTTTGAGAGATTTGGAACTTGTTGAGATCATGTTCTTGTATAAGGCAACAGTCTCACTAGTAATTTTAAGTTTTAAGGAATTCAATGACCTATGCTTACTTACTCAAGTCATTTTATCATAATGTTAATTGAAGTTGTCATTATTGGATCCTTTGTTAGGCCTGCTGCTTCACTCAGTTGGCACAATTCTGACTATAGCTTTTGTGATTTTTTGAAAATGTATCGTTTTAATTTTAGCCCAAATACAATCACACCCTTAAGAACTAAATTTCAAAACCCAAATTTTTCCTTGATTGTGTTACGGGGCATCGGAGGGTGTTATGAACTTCCACCTTCAACTCCGATGAGCTTTGAGGCTCAATTTTGACCTTCAACTTTCAGCTCTTTTATTTTATTTTATTCTATAGGCAAGCAAAAGCTTGAAAGGACACTACACTAAGACACATTTTAAAAACTAGATGACTAAACACGGAGGGACGAAGCTTAAAATCTGCTTCAACCTTCAACTTTGGGTTTTGCATATGAGTGTTTTAGTTTTTTTTTTTAATTTTTAAACTATTCACATCAGATGTATGCTAAATTTGAGTATGATAGTCAAAGAGAAAAAGTTAACAGTCAACCCGAGCTTTTAGAATGGTAGGGCCAGATTGTTCAATTTAAAAAGAAAAAAAAACGTTATGTGGTGCCTTTTAAAATTATTTGGCGATAGCCCAATATATTATTAACAACAAATTAACTATAATACTCATTCCCGTACATTTCAAATAAGAAATGTGTAAATTTATACTATGTATTCATGTACTTATAGATAGTATGATTATTATTTATAAATTATATATATATATATATATTGATGATTAGTTTTAAAATTAGGATATAATTTTTCCATATAATCATGATTAAGTAATAAATTTTACTGTTACTTTAATATTAGTTGGTTTGGGAAACAAAGTTGTCATTACATTGGTGAGGCTCTCATTCATTTAGAGCAAAGCATAATGTAACAATACAACCAGGAAAAAAAAAAGGGTTTGCTGCAGATGCATTTTCGACTTTATGTAGTCTCTTTCGGCTTTAGCCCTCTCTTGTAAATAAAAAGAGAAGTGAATGTTCTAAAAAAGTTGAAAGATCCATTTTCTAGGCGGATCATCATTCTGGCAAGTACTATAAGAATCCGCACTACTTTATGAGTTCTTTTTCTGGTCATGCTAATATATAGATATTGGTTTTGCCGGATTTTTCTGACGCGGCCTCACCCAATTGTTTCTATAACAAGGGAATGAAACCGATGTCGAGCTCCGTAAATTTTGCCTCATGGTTTCTATTTACTTATCAAAGTTACACCTCGATTTGGCATCTTATTTCTGTATATATATGGATCTCTCTTGTCATGAAAGCTTCAAGCCACCATCAAACCCTCGATCCCATCTGCCTGATCTTACGAATTTCTCAGAGCCAAAAGCAAGAATGGCCAAGATCGCAGCTTTGTTCTTCACCGCTCTATGTCTCTGTCACATGCTGGCCCACGCCAGTCGTCCTGAACCAAGTTTTCACGAGGAATCCGTCGAGAAAACGCAACACGAGGTTGGTAGAATTATGCTACTCGTGCCGTGATGTATGATGTTGAATTTTTTTTTTTTTAAATAAATTGAGATTGGGCGGTGCGGGTTACTTAGTTGAAGCACGCATGGTGTTTTGTTTGAAGGGGGATATACAGGGCGTGGAGGACAAGTGCGAAGACGTGTCAGCGGACGGATGCTTGATGAGAAGGACACTAGTGGCTCATCTGGACTACATCTACACACAGTCACCAAACATTAACGCCTGAAATTTCTCTTCTCCTCCTACTAACCACTAGCACATTCCGCACTCCACACACTCAAATGCTTACATGTACACACTCAATCCTTTGTCCACTCACTCTCTACTTTTCTCCTTTTATCAAGCTTCAGTGAAGAATCTGTGCATCTATGTACTGAGTATGTACAATACGCAGTCGCGTGTTTGTGAATTAATTACTTGTCTTAAGAATGTGAGATTTGTGAGTTTGCTATCGTATTGTATCAGACAGATGTGCTCTTACCCATTCATGCTAACTTTATCGCGTTGGTAATGAGTATCTATAGTGCTATTTGATAAAACTTTTTAATATTTTTATCATCATTTTACATTGCACTTAACATATTGTTATTTCATCACTAATTAAATGTCACCAATACATGCAAAAAAGTATTAGCACTTTGTCAAGATGATTATTAATCACGTAGACCAATACACTTGTCTACCGTGCATAGGAGGAAGCATCAAACAAAAGAATGTGCTTTTTTAAAGAAGGAGAATACAATTATTGGTTAATATATTTCTAGAGTGTTTTTGTAACATCCCGGATTTTAATGCCCTAATAAGTCAAGTTAATCAAGAGATAATTGAGTTAACATTAACTAAATTTGGGTCAAAGGGGACTAAGGGTGGCTTTGTACCATGCGTCGCGACATGTGCATTATCCATTGTGGTGCAAGAGGTTGAAGGTGGGAGGGGAAAACCTCCTTATGCCATCTATTTTAGTATAGGAAGTGTCTGTTATGGTGTGTGGCCATAACAAGTGAGAATCCACTTTGTGCCACACCTTGTGTAACATCCTAAATAATTTAACCGCAGCTAAGGAAATGAAGATAATTAAGTAAATTTATATAGTGTGTAATTATATAGAGCTAACAGGTGTTTTAGATTGTAATTTCACCTCTAGGATTAAATTCAAAGGGACGTCAAGTCACTCGAATGTCAAAAGGTAAGAGAAACAAAGGAAACTGGCTTTGTGCCACATGCTACGATACATGAGCCACTAGAACACAGAATTTACCTCTCTGTACCACATGCCGTGATGCGTTGGGACAGGTGCCATGATGCACGATACATTTTTTTTTTTTTGCAAAAATAGGACCTGAAACTAATGTGAAAAATAGAGAGAAAAGAGGAGGAAACTAAGGAGCTCATCTTTGCTCTGCTAAGGCTAACAATATTGGAGATTTGGGAGCATTTTGAGCTAAAGAACACCTAAGGTAAGTATACTAAGATTCCTCCTCCCTCTTTGTTCCATTTTCATGAGGATTTGATTTAGGGTTTGAATGAAAAAAGTAATTTTTGATCCATATAAGTTATGGGTCTAAACCATTAATTTAAATAGAGTTAATGGGAGTGATTTAAGCTAGTTAAACCTAGCATTAATAGTTTTATAAGTTGTTGATTGGTAAATGCCATTAATGTTTGAAAATTAGTTGTAATGATTTGGTTGGTAATGTTTAATGACCATAAATAGTGGTTTAATGATTCATTAATGACAATATGAGCTTAAGGAACCTAGTAAACTCAATGGGTATGATGAGAAGTGGGATATTGCATTTTGTGTGAGTTGAAAGGATGAAATAGAATATTGGAAACCATTCAAATAGGGATATTAATGATTGTCCTTGAGATTAAATTGTAGACTAACCAACTTGGCACCATTCAAGCTTCATGAGAGCTTTAAAAGTTTTTGTTTTGAGGAGTAAACATATAACCTCTCAAATATTTGAGGTAACCAGGGAAAAATTTAATTTGTATAATTGCTTGTTAATTAATTATACCTTGAAAGAACTTGTTTGGAAATTATGATAGATTAATTTACGTTTAATGTAAGATTGGCAAAATGATAGATTATGTGTTATGCTAGCATGTTTATAGGTTGATAATAGAATATGTGTTTATTTATATACATTGATGCTGGGTTTTAACATATTTATTTGAAAATGAATAGCATAAGATGTTGAGTTATGTAGAGTGTGATGGAGTTAATTGTGATGAGTAGGTTATTATGGGATGAATGTCTATATGTGCATACTATGTGTTAATGTATGCATGTCATGATCACTATGGTGAGAGTTTGCCCATAGGGATCGAAAGCTTGCCCTAGTATTAATCGTTAGAATTGAGAGGTAGCCATTGTCCTATAGTTGATTAGGGACTGTCCCACTAGTTCTTCGAGGAACTTGAATCTAACTAATCTCCATTGGTCTATGAGGAGACTAAATTAGGTATACAACACCCCATGATTATTACTATTGGGAGAAATCATGGATTAAAAGTGAGTGAATTAGCCTTGGCCAAACAGCTTATCAAGAGTAGAAGGTTGGGTTAGTCTAAGTTATGGATGTAGCCACTAAATAGCCATTTGTTTTATGTTATAGGTATTAGGAAGCTATAAGGTTTGTAGTAATCATGCATTTTTATTTTCAACTACATGATTGCTATTATTATGGTTCGATGTGTTTTGTTAGGGATACATGATTGTTATTGTTGTGACCCCAATATGTGCATTCTTGAATGTATGTGGTGACACGCATTTGGACCCAATCGCATGGTTATTAGTTTTGTGGTTGAGACTACTTTGAATAAAAAATATGTATGTGTATAAACTAGTTGTGAAAAGATTTATAATTGCCACTTGCATCCATAATTAATTGATAGGCATTTGTATATGTTAGATTAATTGTGGTTATTAAGTAGTTGTACTCACCTTTCATTCTTTAATACTATAGAGATTAGCTCATCGGATTAGGACTGGGGAAAATGAGGCTTAGAATTTAGAGAAAATCCTACTAGTAGGCCTCATAGTTTAATTATGTGTATTTTGTGTTTTTGATTGCCAACTAGGTTGTTATGTGATTCATTTTGACTAATTGCACTATTACTGGGAGAAATGACTAGATTGTGTATTTTGTGCTATGGGCTATATGATATGTAATTGTAAAGTTTATTTAGGGTCAAAATACTAGTGCAAGTAGGGAGTTGTGTAATTAATTAAAAATGATGATTGCTATGGTGATTTATGAATATTTGACTCATCTTCATGTTTTTGATATAAAGGGGTTGAGTGTTGAGAAAATGATATGTGTGTAATTGGTTGGCTATAGTATGTTGTATGAGTCTGTAATAGTCTATTATGTGTGGTTTAAGGATTAGTGTAAGCTTTTGACACTTGTTTTAGGAAACGAACACCCTAGTTATATGATATAGTGAAAAAGGAGTGAGTTTTGTAATACATGTCTAACTTTTTACTGAAAAATGGTTTGATTGTAAAATCTGTGCTATTAGTTAGACCTAGAAGAAAGTTCTTTATAAATACTTGGATCACCTCAATAAGACGTCGGACATAGAAATGTGATGCATTGGAAATTTATCCCACGAATTATCATATGACAGTTCTATGCTGTCATAGAATGTTCATTGTGTTACAATGTATGGTGCCTCCATCACGGCACTTGGCACATAGCCAAACGAGCTGCAATGCATCTTGCTGTTTTATTGAAAAAGATGTTTTCTCATCTCTTGCAAAAGCTACCATATGATTTGAATGTCCATACTTCCATGTAATGATTTTACATTGATTTATGATAAAGATGTAGATTTAGAAATATTTTGAATTATGAGAACTTAAGATCCCAACTATTGCAATTTTACAAACTTAATAGTCTTTTTTGTATTACACCCTTGATTACCTTGAATTCATAAATTAATGTTGTCTAAGGAGTTTTACAACTTGGTATCATTTTCTTTTGTTTTGACAATTGGTTTGTAGTTTGCTTAAGGAGTAAACTATTGATTACTCTAATGTTTGAGGTAATCAAAATTTTTTTTGTGTGTAGTTATTTGTTAATTGATTTATGTTTTTGAAATGACATAGTTGACATAAATGATTGAATTTCATGATTATAAATATGTCCAAAATCATGTTAAGTTTTGATTAACCTAATTTGGCTATAAATCTAAAGTTTGAATTTGAGATATTTGTATGCCATAATTATATATTGAAATAAGAATTTCATAATTTGAAAAAAAAGAGTGTGTCATTATATTAGTTTGAATGTAATATGTGAGTAAAGTGGAGAATATATGAATGTGAAATGATATTGATAATAGAAGTGAAGTGTCATAAGTGAAAATAATTAGGATGCTCGTATTTAATAGTTTGTTGCGTGAATTAAATAAGCTTGCATTTATATATGTGAAACGAGTGAGAATATTTTATTGCATGATCATTCTAGTGAAAGTTTATCTAAAGAGAGGAGTATATAAAATCTACATGGTAATCACTGCCATTTATTAGAATTGAGGGGCAAACTGTAATGCTCACCTTGATATTACCAAACACATAAAACACCCGATACGAGCCATCATTATCATAATCAAGAATAATTAAATCCCTTAAAAATGGTTATCATAATATAAAGGGTTAGAAAAAAGTTTAAGAAAATTGGGATTCCAAGAAAAATCCTTTTTGAAAAATGTTTGAGCTTAAATTATAACTTAAAATGAATTACATAAAATATCAGAAGCATAGGAACTCAAAACAGTCTTAAGAAAAGGAATTGAAAAAATGTAGAAATTTTTAGATTTTGCATAGTGCACTGCGGTTCACATCTTACCTGTTGCAGTGGACTACACAAAGGGACTATGTTCCCTCTTCATGCCTCGTGCCATGGTGCACATCTGCTGTCATAATAGCACTTTGGACCAACTTCTAAAGCACGCCAAATCACCATCCAACATCCAATTCAAATGATTCAAGCATCCACATGTAGCTCTTAGAGCTATCTAATTATTGGCATTGGTCTTACAACTAACCACTTAATTAATTAAAGGTTAGACACTTAGATACAAAATGATACCTTTTCTTTTCAAAACAACAACTAAGGCATGCAAACTCATATATCAAGTGCTAATAACTGTGGAACCACTTGAACTAACCTAAATAGACCATAAAAAACCTATTTGCATAATTAAACCACTACAATATCTGTTCATATAAAATTTGGCCATCCAATCCCCAATTTAGCATAATCCTAAAAAAAGGGTAACAATAATTCAATATTTATACACATGGCCAATTAAGTACACAAATTAACTTAAAACAACACTTGTACTAGTATCTTGACCTTTCAAAATTATTACATCAAAATTATAATATTTCAAATTGAGACGCCTATAGTTTACGGAAATATTCATGCAAGTGACAACAAAAATGGTTATATAGTTCTAAATTGACATAAGCTTGCATAATTTGTTACAAACTAACAAAAAAGG